GTGTGTGTGTGTGTGTAGTGTGTGTAGTGTGTGTGTGTGTGTGTGTGTGTGTGAGAGAGAGAGAGAGTGTGTGTGTGTGTGTGTGTGCGTGTGTGATGGTGGCAGGAGTGAGAGTGGTGGATACTGGTAATCGCTGAAATGACGCTGTAATATCGAGCGTTGTTGAAATGTGATGCTTTGCCCTCCCTCCTCTCCCCGAGCTGTTGAATGGTGCGAAGTGGAGGTTCAACAGTGCTGACTTCGTTCGTACTGCATGCGTGCGTGTGTGCGTGTGCGGATGCTTTTTTGATCCAGGGCGTCATGCTGAGTCACGACAACATCACGTGGACCGCGCGCACCCTGGCACAGGTAAGCAGCACCGCCGCATGCGTTCGCACACAGCTACACATTTATGCACATGCCCCACCTCAAAGTACGCACAAGCACACTTCACACGGACATACAGACAGACAGACACACACGCACAGACACACAGACACACAGACAGACACACACACACACACACACGCACACGCACACACACGCACACACACACACACACACGCACACACACTGAATACACACACACACACACCACCACGGGCGTGAAGGCGCTTGGGGCGGAGCCGGCGCAGGACCGGCTTGTGTCGTATCTTCCGCTGGCGAACATGGCGGCGCAGATGATGCACGTGTGGATGCCAATTGCAGCCGTCGCCACCGTCTACTTTGGCAAGCCGGACCCCTTTGAAAAGGTGCATACATATGCACATGCACATACGCACATGCACACATGTACACGTGCTCACGTGTACTTGTTTGTGTGGGTGGTTTCACATGTATGCGTTTGTGCTTGTGTTGGTCACCTTATGTGTTTGCTTGTACATCTTCATGTATGTACCTCATACACACCCATGCTTCCTCTCTAACTCACACATGCATACACATGCACACACATGCATACACATACACACATATACACACATATATCCCACTCATGTGACACCCCCCCCCCCACACACACACACACCACCCCCTTCCAAGCTTGACTTCATGTCGACGCTGCGGGCTGCTAATCCGACGCTGTTTGTTGGCATTCCCTGGGTCTGGCGCCGCCTGTACGAGCACGGCAACGAGACAAAACGCCTCTCTGCCTGGGTGCGAACGCAGTGTACGCCCTTGCGCTTTGATGTGTGGCTGTGATATATGGGGCTGGTGTGCTGCGTGTGGGTTGGTGGTTGCGTTACTGTGGTTTGTGTGTGCCTGCATGAACACATTGAGTGGTACGTTCAACATGTGATGTGCGCTCGTACAAGCTTCATTTCCGCATCCCCTCACACGACCTCTCACCCTTCCTCCTCCCTGCTGCGCTTACTCAAACGCCTCGTTCATGAACACCACCGCCGCCACTGCCACGTGTGCGCGTGCGTGCCCACGTGTCAGGCTGCGCGCAAAGGGATGAAGGGGAGCATTCGTCTGCAGCGCGGGGAGGGGGTCAACTGGAAGTTCAAATACGCAAACAAGAACACCTTCTCCAAGATCAAGAAGGCCATTGGTACGAGTCTGCCAGTACGCACGACATCGTCACTGACGCTCGTGTGTGTGTATGTGTGTGTGTGTGTGTGTGTGTGTGTGTGTGTGTGTGTGTGTGTGTGTTGTGTGTGTGTGTGTCCGTGCGTGCTACATGGTGTCGACTGAAGATGAACATTTATGTTTGACTCACACCGCTCCTGTTTCACTGCCCCCCCCCCCCTTGTTACCACAATCATGCACCCCTGTGTCCAGGCCTCGACGAGTGCCGACTGGCGATGTGCATCGACTCCAACCTGAGCCCGGCCATGGCCGAGTACTTCCTTGCCATCAACCTCCCTGTCTTTGAGTCGTACGGGTGCGCGGAGTGTGCTGGTGTGCACACCATCTCAATCCCGGGCCAATCCCGCCCCGCTTCTGCAGGCAAGCAGCTGCCAGGCACACAGGTAATGCACGCTCTGTGTGTGTGTGCGTGCGTGTGTGTGTCTGTGTGTGTGTGTGTGTATTTCTGTGTCTGCCTGTACGTGCGTGTGTGTGTGTGTGTACATGTGCGTGCGTGCGTGTGTTTTGAAACGAAGTAGTCCCACACCTCGTATTCGCTTCCTCTTACCCCGTCTCCTCAACACGATCTGCTGCCACCACCACATCACTGCAGGTGCGCATGACGCACGGCTCGCACGAGATTCTGATGTACGGGCGGCATGTGATGATGGGCTATCTGTTTGATCCGGACGCGACGTCTGATGCCATTGACGAGCGCGGCTGGCTCCACACCGGCGACATTGGCCAGGTGCCGACTGCACTGGGGGAAGAGGTGGAGAGGGGGAGGGGCGACTGAGTGGAGGGGGAGGGGTGTTGGTAGCAAGTGTCTGCGTGCGTATGTGTGTGAGTGTGTGCGTATGTGCGTTTGTGTGTGTGTGTGTGTGTGTGTGTACATGTATGTGTGTATGTGTGCGTGTGTGTATGTGCATACGCATGTGCTGGCAAGCATCTGCGATTGCATCAGCATTCAACCATCTCACCACTCACCAATTCCGCCATCACCGCCACCACCTCTGCAGGCTGACCGGAGCGGGTTCCTGTATGTGACAGGACGTCAGCCGGACCTGCTGCTCACTGCTGGCGGCGCGTATGTTCCGCCCGTCCCCATCGAGACCGCGCTCAAGGTTCCTGCACACACGCACGACAATGATGATGATGATGATGATGATGATGATGTGTGTGTGTGTGTGTGTGTGTGTGTGTGTGTGTGTGTGTGTGTGTGTGTGTGTGTGTGTGTGTGTGTGTGTGCAAGTGTACGTGTCTCCACGCTTGCATGTTGCTTCACATTCCTCTCACACACGCCCTGTTTACCCCCCCCCAATCCTATTCACACGTGTGCCGCGGTCCAGGCTGAGCTGCGTGGTCTGGTGAGCAACGCTGTGCTCGTCGGCGCAAAGAGGAAATCGCTCGGTGTTCTCCTCACTCTCAACGTACGTTCCTTGTACACGATGGTGACACTGAATTGCAGCTCATGTGTGTGTGTGTGTGTGCGGGCGCGTGTGAGTGATTTGTGTGTGTCTTGTTTTTCACACTCCTGCTCACTGCTGAACACAAGCGCCGCGACTCACACCACCACCACACACCACCCCACACCACCCCACACCACCCCACACCACCGCATGCCACCATACACCACAACGCCAGACGCTGACTGACGACCACTACACGCCGACGGACGAGCTTGCACCGGACGCCGTGTCCGTTCTGCGCGAGATGGGCTGCACCGCCACCACGGCCTCGGCCTGTCTAAACGGGCCCCACACAGACCGCGTGATGCAATTTGTGCATACTGCCCTTGAAAACGTCAACGCGAAGGTGGTGAGCGAGGACCAGCGTGTGACGCGTTTTGAGTTCCTCCCACGCGGATTGAGTCAGGACACGCGTGAACTTGGGCCGACGTTTAAACTTCGCCGTCACTTTATCGCCATCAGGGTTGGTCGACGGGGAAGAAGGACAGAAGAGAGGCGAGGAGAGAAGGAGGCGGTTGCATGAATGCATGTATGATGTGTTTGTGTGTGTGTGTGTGGGAAAGTGTGCGTGCGTGTGTGTGTGTGTGTGTCTGCGTGTGATTGTATTCGTTGTCTGGTTGTTTGTTTGTGTGTGTGTGTGTGTGTGCGTCATCAGTTGTATCTCTCGCTCTAACCACCCATCCTCCTGCTCCTTTCCTCTGTGTGCCATCGTTCGTGTGTCTGCACAGCACGCGAATGTGATTGACCGGATGTATGAGGGCGAGGAATTGGACGACTATGAGCAGCAGCCCTGGTACCACGGCCCAATCACCCGCGCCGACACCATCAACCTCCTCAAGGTGCGGGGAAGAGAATATGTGTTTTGTGTATGTATGTGTATGTGTGTGTGTATGTGTATGTGTGTGGGTGTGTGCATGCATCATCCTCGCATCATGTGTCTCTATTACCTCTCCCTGATGTACGTGAACATCCCACACCGACTCACATCTCGCAATACACACACATACACACATACACATACACACACACACATCGTATACCACGCCAGCGTGATGGCGGCGGGTATGACGGGTGGTTCCTGATTCGTCTCAGCACAAAGGAGAAGAACACGTTTGTCATCACCCTGTGCTTCAAGGGCAAACTCTATCACAACCAGGTACACACGCATGTGAATGCGTTGCTTTGGGACGTGGACAGCACCTTTGGTTTCGTTCAATCCGCTCGCATGCAAACGTTGAATATCCATGTTCAAGTTTCACGTCGTTCAAATTTCTCACCTCCTCACACTTCTCGCACCTCCACTGCTTAACCGCCTCCCCCGGGGCAACCTTGTTACGATAACAGATCAAGTATGCGGATGGGGTGTACAGCACGCACAAGGACCAGGGCAACCACCAGTACAACACGCTGCAGGAGCTGGTGAACCACCACCGCGAGGGGAAGAACGGCTTCCAGACGGTCCTCACTCGCCCGTGTGCTCGCCCCACCGCCTCCACTTCCGTCTGAACACACACGCGTCGGAAACTATGTGTGTGCGTGTGTGCGTGTGTGCGTGTGTGCGTGTGTGCGTGTGTGCGTGTGCGTGTGTGCGCGTGTGTGTATGTGCGTGCGTGCGTGCGTGTGTGTGCGTGTGTGTGCGTGTGTGTGTGTGCGTGTGTGTGTGTGTGTGTGTGTGCGTGCGTGTGTATGTGTGCAGAGTCATGTCTCCTTGCGCATAATGGCAAGTGTTTGCTTGCGTTGTGTGTGTGTGTGTGTGTGTGTGTGTGTGCTGGAACTGCACAATTTTTTGTTGTTCTGGAGCCACTGTTCCTTCCCGTCCTGATTCTGTTTCAGACACTTCCCCCGCCCTCCTTGCCTTCTTGCCTCTTCTTCCTCTCTGCTGTTGTTTCGTACCCGTGGCACTGCATGTGTGGGGTGTGACGTGCCAACTTGGCGTTCTGCTGCGGCAGTCGACGTCGGTGTCCGTGCAATTTGGCAGTTGTTCACGTCGCCTATCCGTGTTGCACATTCCCTTCTCCTTCTTCCCCCTTGTTTCCTCTTCTTTGACCCTTCTTCCCGGTTTGCTCCCGTCTCTCTTTGTCACCTTCACTTCCCTTCTGCTGCTCTTCTTCCCTCATCTCTCGTGCATGACCCCTCTCGCCCCTTACCGTGCCTCTGTCCTCATCGTTGTGGCAGTACACAGCAAACGACACAAATGACAGACCGCGACCACACACACACACACACACACACACACACACACACACACACACACACACACACACACACACACACACACACACACACATATGTTGTCGGCGCATATGTGGGCAAGGGTGTGGATGGCACAGTGATGTTTACATTGACAGTGTAACACAGCACAAAGACAACAACATTGCCAGTGTCACCCAGGTACAACGACAGCAATCGACGGGGTTGGCAGAGAACGAGCACAAGTGCCATGAACGACAACGGCAGCACGTCAAGGACAAATTAAGCGTAACGTAAACAGGAAGCAGAAACCACTCGTGCTGTTGTGCGCAGCGAGCGTTGGGAAAGTGAGGTGTGGCAGCACTGCATTACTGAAGCTCATGCGTTTGTGCACGTACACACATACACAGGCAAGCGCTCCGCGACACAACAGCAGCAACAACAGAGGTAACGTCGTTGGCGGTTGTGCGGTTGTGTGTCGGGTGTTCTCACACCTTGTAGAAATGGCGGCAGAACAGCATCGTCGCCGTCACAGCAACGACGGTGAGGGCAAAGTGGGAGTCGGACACGCGGACGGGCCCTTTGGTCTCTGTGATGGGGGCGCGCTCCCTCGTCACCGCAAACCTGATCATCTGCGTCGAGCCAGATGCACGCGTGCGCCTGGGCTTGGTGGCGGACTTGGCTGCCTGTGCAGGTTTCTCCTTGCGCTGTGTGGGCGGTGTTGGATGCCGGGCAGCAACTTTTGCGTAGGACACTACCAGCAGGCGCATGGGGAGGCAAGCAGCAAAGGGAGCAGGTGCAGATATTGTGTGTGTGTGTGTGTGTGTGTGTGTGTTTGGGTCTTTGAAGAGAGTGGGAAAGGCATGAAGCACAACGATCATGCAGCTCTGAGCACAAACACAAACACAACAAACAGACACAACAAGCAAACACACCGCAGTTCCTCAACGTAAGCATAACGCTGCACAAATACACACATGTATGTCTACCTTTGGCTGTGTTGCCGTTGCCATTCTGTGGCGCCACTGTTGCTGTACCTTCCTGCGTCTTTGGCTTCTTGGCTGCTGGAGGCTCCTTAGCCGCGTCCTGCTTTGTCATATTTTTGTTGCTGCTCTTTGTGCCATTGGGCCCGCGTCCCGCTGGCTGTGGTTTGCCGCCGTCTGGCTGGTGCAGGCCCTCAATGTAGCGCTCCAGCTCATCAAAAACAATTCGGCCATCCTACAAAATGTGTGTGTATGTAGGTATGTGTGTGTGTGTGTGTGTGTGTATGTGCGCGTGTGTGTGTTTGCGTGTGTGTGTGTGTGTGTGTGTGTGTGTGTGTGTGTGTGTGTGTGTGTGTGTGTGTGTGTGTGTGTGTGTGTGTGTGTGTTGTATGCGTGTTGTGTGTGTTGGTGGCAGGCAGTGCATTTGCGGCAATTCGTTTGGGACATGCGTGTGGGTGAACACTTCCAAGAAGAGCGAGGCATTGCAGGTGAACATTGTGTTATTGTGCGTGCATGCAAGCAATGTCAAAGTTAATAAACATGTCCCTCGTACGTGATCGGCATCGAGCTCGTTCCAGAACGTCTTCCAATGGAAGTTCTCGCCATAATGGAGCAGCTTCTGCAGGCCCGCGTCCTGGAATGCAGCAGGTGCGCCGGCCAATGGGGGTGAATGCAGGTGAGGGGAGTGGTGGTGGTGGTGGTGAGCTACAGTACAGTAACGTGGCGATAACGCACGACAACATTGCACGACGAAAGGAAGACGACACCAACAGCAACAGCAACAGCAACAGCAACAGCAGCAAAACCACATCACATCATCACTGCATTGCTGGCAACGAAAGCATACCTTGTGCACGAGCTTCTTCAGCTCGTTCTTGCTGAGCCAGCCGTTGCCATCTGCGTCTGCTGCAACCAGGATCTCCCTGGCCTTGGCCGCGGCCTGCTTGTGGTCCATCGTCATCGTGAGGAGGGAGAGGAGGTTGTGGGCGCTGTGCGGTCTGCTTCTCGAGTCGTCTGCTGGTTGGATGGTGTGCAACTGCAAGCAAGCAAGAGCACAAAAAAAAAATTGCTGCTACTCGGCGTCCGCGACACCATTAACAGTAGCGGATACAAGGGAGTGTGGTGGAACAGAACTCACACACAAGCAAGTCAAGCACACACACGAGCAAGCACACACACGCACACACACACTGTGTCACGATGTCGTCGTGCTTCCAGTGCAAGTCGCTGTCTGCCCGGCGTGTAGATCGCGTGTTCCCGCGCGATGACACCAACGTGCCAAGACGAGGTGAGGTGCAAGGAATGTGAGAGATGGGGGGGATTGGGGGAATATGTGGGTGGATGGAAAGTTGGGTGCGCTCATGGCGTGCGTCCATCAACGCCATCAACAGCAGACACGATCACGAACCGGCTGTTGCTTGTCATATCACGTTCCTCTCTATCATGTTGTCTTCTCTCATCTCAGTACTGCACACTCTTCACCACTGCGTCGTTCACGCACGAATTCCACGTTGCAGATGCGCTGCAACACTTGTCATGGTACTGCCTGTCGCATGCGCGGAAGCTGCCGAAGATCTCGCGCTACCTGGCCAGACGCATCAAGGCTGCAGAGGCCAGGGGACAGCACTCGTGAGTCTCCCTCGCTGTCGCGTACATTCCCTGTCTTCCTCCATTCGTGTTCGTGTGTGCGTGTGTGTGTGTGTGTGTGTGTGCGTGTGTGTGTGTGTGTGTGTGTGTGTGTGTGTGTGTGTGTAACGTATCTCGTTGACCGGTTGAACTCACAGCTCCTTTGTACTGATCTCGCCACGTGCTGTGTGCTTCCCTTTGTCTATGTGCAGGCGCGTGTCTGTTGGTTTGCAAATCTTTGATGAGCTGATACGCAAGTGCCACACCGAGGCACGGCTGTTCTTACAGCAATATCTCCTCGTCTTGCTGGACCTCCTCACCTCAGAGCATCCGTATCACGCCGTGGCCGTGGAATCGGTACGTGCTTTTCTTTGTGAAGGGCGATGAGGGGCCCGCTGTCATGGATGCACCGTGTATGCCACCCGCACACACCTACCATGTCACCACATCTTCACACAAGCCCATAAACGTCACACCCCCACCCCCACACACATACACACACACATACACACACACACACACACACACACACACACACACACACACACACACACACACACACACACACACACACACACACACACACACCATCACCCACACACACACAACCGCAAACAAACACATTTTCCAGTTTGAGCGGTTTGCGGGCATTGATGCAGACACGCCCGTATATCGGCACATGTGCGCAGACTTCATCCGCGTCTTTAGTTCGCTCTGCTGGTGCACAGAGGCACCACAAGACAGGTGTGCGTGTGTGTGTGTGTGTGTGTGTGTGTGCGTGTGCGTGTGCGTGCATGGTACAGGAGAGGCACCACTTCTTGTCGTTGTGCCCTTCCTCCCTCCCACCCATTCCTCGCAGCCTCTCTGTCAGCACATCACACGCTCATCCCATCACACGCTCATCCCATCACACGCTCATGCCATCACATCACGTTCCATCACATCACGTCACAATGTCCATGGCAACACCATCAGCGATGAAGCTGTGCGCATGTCAGGCCTGCGGGGGTTGGCGGCCATTGTCGAGAAGGTAGGGGCAGCCACACCCCTGTCTCCTGCTGTTGTGCCATGTGTGCTTCTCAAACCACGTCCTGCCACTATCATTCCCTCTCTCCTCTCCTCTCCTTCTTGCTCTCATCTCCCCCACGCCCACCTCAACTTCGACCATTACCCCGTGCCCCCCCCCCATTTTCCTTGTAACTGCATTCACGTCAGGACCGGGACACGGCGAGCGAGTCTGCGCTGTATGACGAGTACAGTCTTGGACAGGTCATCCCAGCCCTCCTCTTCAACGTCACAAAGTGCGACAATGATGGTGGTGGCGGTGGTGGTGGTGGTGGTGGTGGTGGTGGTGGTGGTGGTGGTGGTGGTGGTAGATGGTGGTAATGACGGTTGCGGTAGTAGATGGTGGTGGTAGTCGATGGTGGCCGTGCACATGATCATATCAGCAGACACAATCATCATTTGTCTTTCATTTTCACCTCAGCACACGAACAATAACCCTCACACCACTCATGCCACCACGCCACCCATACCACCACCACCACCACCTTTACCACGAATGGCCAAAGGGGGGACCACCTGACCCCGGCGTCGCTGATCATCCGGCGTCGCAGCGGGAGCGATATTGAGGGCGGCGACGAGCAGGAACTCCCGTCAGACCCGCCCCAGGTGCACCCGCAATGGTGGTGGTGGTGCTGGTGATGCTGCTGGTGATGGTGGTGGTGGTGGTGGCGATGATGATGCAGGGTACAGTGGGCATTTGACTGTTGTGGGGAAGAAACTGTACGCCGTGGCGTTAAACTGTGAATGGAGATTAACATGTTTTGTATGTTCTGTCGCTGACACTCACGCGTCCGCCACACATGTTCGCAATGTTGTGCATCTGTGTGACCGCCCACACCTCTCTCCCTTCTCTCTATCACCTCTTGGTCTCCTGCAGTTGGCATCGCGTGTTCTTCAGATCATCTGTGAGCACGCCACGCTCGCCACGGCAAAGGCCATCTTGCGACCGCTATTCGGGTCAGTAGCATGCATGCACGCATGCACGCATGCACGCACAAACACACACGCGTCATGTACACTGGAGGATTACTTCTTTCATGACACTCAACACATACACGCACCCTCACCTACATCAACACATCATTCACGTGCATGTATACACCAACAACCTTCACACATACGTTCACACACACACACACACACACACACACACACACACACACACACACACACACACACACACACATACATACACGCACACACGCACGTTTGCACCGGACAGCTACCTTGCGGACTTTGGTCTGTGGGAGGAGCGAGAGGACGGCGTTGCCTCTTACGCAATCACACTCGTACTGTCGTCATTGGAGGGACAACTGGTCCACATTGTGTGCACGGAGCTTGTGCGCCACCTCAACTCGCGTGACACCCTCGGCCCGCTCGCCAAGCGAAGCATCATCAAGGTGCCATCCTGCTGCTGAACGATGATGATGATGATGATGATGATGATGATGATGATGATGATGATGATGATGATGATGATGATGATGATGATGATGGAGGAAGGAGAGAGACACAGAGAGGGCAGTTGTAACCTTTGTGTACGTGTGTGTGTTTGTTGTTTGTTTGTTTGTTTGTTGGGTGACTTGCGTTGCAACACGTCATGCGACACCAATGTGACTCTTTTGCTTACGGCATGACCTTCTCATCCGCCACTCACCCATCAATCACCAGGCCATCTCCACGGTGTGTGCGAGTGTGTCGAGCATTCCGTTCACATATGTTCTGGACATCTACAACGCCATTCTCGCGTGAGTTGCTGCGGATGTGGCATGAAGAGAGACCTCATTCACGGCATCGCTATTCCCCTTGCTGCCCCCCCCCACACACATCACGCATGGTCCTTCTCACGCTATGGCTTAGTCCTCCTCTCGATCCAACACCACACCACACGCACACGTCACTGCTCTGCCGCACGCCATGACATGATTCCGCATGACAAAACAACGTAATCCACCAAACCAACCCCTCCTAACCCTCTTTCATCATCACCACACCCCATCTCATCTCCAGGCACCTGCGCAAGCCGCTGCCTAATGCGACGGCTGCGGATGCGCAGCTGCTGGAGGACTCAATCGTGGCCGCGTGTGCGGACGTTGCGTCCACTCTTCCGCCGATGCAGAAGACGGAGATCCTGATCACCATCTTCACCAAGGTGGCGACGACACACGAGGCCAAGGCCAAGCACCAGCTCATCGAGTGCGCACGCGGCGCCGCCAACACCCTGGAGGTGATGATGATGATGATGATGATGATGATGATGATGATGATGATGATGATGATGGTGATGATGATGATGATTGTGGTGAAGAGCGCGGGGGGATTGTGCGTGTATGTGTGTGCATGTGTATGTGTGTGTATGTGTATGTGTGTACATGTGTATGTGTGTGTGTGTATTGCGTGTACAACTCGCTCTTCAGTACCCAAGCCCTTCACTTAACTACCTAACCATCACCGCCCATCATCACCCTCACCGCCTTCATGGCGATCAGGTACAATCGTTGTCGTCTGCGCTGCCAGATGCGCTGCTGAAACCACTCCTACAGACCACCATCCACTCCGACGAAGGTGCTGTCCATCATGATGGTGGGGATTGGTGACGACGCTGATGACGGTGGTGGTTCCATGTTTTATCGTGCATTGTGACGCATATGACGCGCGACATGTGTGTATTCTCACCACCTCCAATTGCATGATTGCAATGATGATTGACGTGTGTGCAGATGTACAGACGTCCTCCACCGCTCTCCTCTTTGATCTCCTCCAGTGCCCGCTCGGTTCGTCACTCCCCCACCTGCATACACGTACACGCGCACGTTGTACACACGCACTTGTCATGCATGCGTGCTCGCTTCCTTGCGTGCTCTATTGTGTGCACACACGCCTTCATGCTTTCGTCCCCTCCCCCACAACACCGGCATCTCACCTGCCACCATCTTCATCGCCCATCAACACCCAACCCCAAACCCCACGCAACAAACCACCACCATCGCCATCACCACTACCATCATCATCACCATCACCACCATCATCACCACCACCACCAGAGGTGTCGCCCTCGCACGCCATCACGACGTCATCGCTCTCTGCGCAGCGATCAAATGACTCCCGCCGATCGGACGAGACGACGCTGACGGCGACCACCACAGCGACAGCCACTGGACGCAGCCCAACCCGTCTCCAGCGAAAGTGAGGCGTGTGTGTGTGTGTATGTGTATGTGTGTGTGTGGTGGGGGGGGGGAGTCGAGTGCCCGTGCGGTGTTGTTGCTGTCATGTGCTGCATGCATGCATGGCTTTGTGGGACGTGCTGCAATTGCACTTGTGGCCCACCGTGTGGCAGTGGCACGCACACACACGCACACACACACACACACACACACACACACACACACACACACACACACACACACACACACACACACACACACACACACAGGAGA